AATAAATAAATAAATAAACTAAAAAACCGATAAACTAACCATTAGAAAAAACAAATAAAGATAATCAATCAAAATAAATACATGAAATAATAAACAAAATAAGAACTGTTCCCACCAAAATAGTTAGAATAAACTACAACAATCAACCCCAAAATTGAATAAAAAGCTTTTAGTATCTTCCCAAACCAAAGCAAAACTATTAAATAAGGGATATAAACAAATTTTTACTACGTTAATAAAAACACCGATTAAAATAAAATAAAAAATAAATATAAGATAAGAAATAAAAGTAAAAACAAGCAAAATAATTTAACGCAAATAAATAAACAACTTCCAGTAAAATAACCACCAAAATAGACTACTACAATGCACCACTGACCCGTATATATAGATAGCCGAGTAAAATAACAGCACTTGTGGCCTGACGATTGCATCTATTGCATCTAGCATGAAACAGACTGTCGCCTCTAAGTGTTGACTTCTATGTTCACATTATATATATATATATATATATATATATATATATATATAAAGTGAACATAGAAGTCAACACTTGACACATATATATATATATGTCTCATGTGGAGAACTATACAGCAAAGTATAAGGAAGAACAAAAAGAAAAGGTCTTACATATAATTTGGAGATACTCTTAACCGGGAGAAGCCATTTTTAGGACTCCAGATTTAAATGAGCAGATTAATTTATGTCCCATTGGGAAACGGCACCATATACTTGTAAGTTGCTGAGGGGAGTCAGATTTAGCTTCAGCCTGGGTCCATTTAGATTTTGCTGAGGTATCTCCACTTTTTTTAAATTTTATTTATTATTAATTAAAAGCAGGACTCCTTAGAGAATGTTTGTAAATCTGTAGAGGACTGTGTGTGTATTTACGTATTAGAAGCAAGTGTGTAACTCCTGGTAGAATATTAAAAGAACCAACTACATGAAAATTGGCGGACTTAATTTCTCCAACAAAAGATGAAAGAAGACAAACAAGATATCAACAAATATGCATTAAACAAATTACAAGGCACATAGACATAACATTGTGCGTGTTCTTTGGTGAATGTAATGTTCATAGCATTTTCCAGAAATGGGAAACACTGATCGTCTAAGAGCTTACATCTTGTCGCTGAAATGAAAAAAAGAAATTTACCTCACTTCCACGTGAGGTGGAATGCGGCACGAGCCCTGAGGGAAAAAAGATTGAGGCGAGAGGTCGCCCGGTATTTATAGCATGGGGAGAGAGACCCCTGGTGAAAAATTAGGGAACTAAAAAGGAGGTAACTCCTACAAATCATACATTTTTTTTTCAGTTACTGTTAATTGCTTTTATTAAGCAGATTATAAAGAAAAAATGCTTCAAATAAGAGTTTTTAAGATAAATAAAAATTTCTGAAAAGTATACTTATGTAATACGACTCCCCTTTTTAACTTTAATTTTTTCGTAAAAAATTTCTCGCATTATTCCAAAGAAAATAAAATACGGTACTGTGTACGCTATCCCCCCACCCCCAAACGCTCTCTGCAAAAAAGAAAATCATGATTCATAAGGTTTACACACGTCTTTACTTCCATACAGGATGTAACTAATTCTCTGAAGCTGAAACAATAAATAAAAAAAGAGAAGGGAGAAAAGAAAAAAAAAAAAAAAAAAACTCAGCAAGAAAAGACATAAATCATGTGGGCCCCTCTTTCAACTGAGAAGTGTCAAGTTAAAAACTATTTCATATTGGCGGCTTGCTTCTGACTATACAACGAAACACTTTACTCTGGGTGGTTAGGAGAAAGACAAACAGGCAAGGAATGGCTTCAGACAAAAGAGGGCCTGTAGAACAACCAAAGCAAGGTCGATGGGTTCGTTTTTTTTTTTTTTTTTTTTTAACCCTCTCCTGATTCTAGTTAAAGGTTATGAAAATAAGTACAGGAAGAACTACAATAAACAAGAAGAAGCCTTCCAAACAAAACAAAAAAAAAAAGTCCTTCGTGTTACTATTTCTCGGGGTATATCGAGATCCGTTTATGTGAGTTCTTGCTTGCTGGAGAGAAAATAGAAAGTGCCTGAAAAAAAAAAAAAAAAAAAAAAACAAACATATATATATATACATACACACACACACACACAAACACAACGAGCTGACCCAATTCTTGTGAGTGAAATTGGATGGAACCCTTTGGGAGTCGTTGATGGTTGTGCTAGCATGAAATCACAAGTCATCGTGCCCGAGAGTAGTGGCCTTGATTATACATTCCACCCCCTCCGGAAAGCAGTAGCTCATCATAGTGACAGTATAAACCACAGTTCAGCTCTGTGGACAAGTGCAAATGTGCCTCAGTTAGCTGCCCTAACAGACAGGTGTGTCCTTGCTAGGCACTGCTTCTCCTAAGGGGCTAGGTTAATTCCAAGTGCTTGAGGCGTCTCCAGATGGTGAATGCTGGCGGAGGTGAGTTTTTTGGGGTTTTTTATCCCAGCTCCATATACACATGGACTCCCACTTTAAATGAGGCCTTCTGCCACATTGCATTTGAGTAATCATGAACGGATCCTAATAGATGTTGCAGCCCCTTTGGCATATTAACATTGTGATAGTGAAGCAGATGAAAATACAGAAGTACCAGAAGACATCAAAGAAATACACTAAGCAGCAGTTCAAGTTGTCCCTTCTGTGGTTGGTGCACTAAGGACTATTACCATGAATCTTTCTACCTTATAGTACACCGAGGGGATACCTGGCATAATTGGGAATTGGCAGGCAGGCGGCAACAATGCTTGGAACAGCTCATGGGCTGAGGAAAATGTCTCTCTAAGCTGAGGATAGGAGATAAGGCAATATTTTGTTTGTTGCTTATAGATACTTTGCTTCAATAAATTCATTTCGTTTTTTGCCTTGAAAAAGTTCACATTGGACAAAACGTGTCAGCTAAAACTACAGTTTTCCTATTGTCTTTTTCTACAAGTTAATTCTGAGAAATTTTTACATTTACACACACTATATATATATATATATATATATATATATATATATATACACGAATTGGGATCAAATATGGATCAGAACCTGACAAAATGATAAGTTAAAGAACAAATAAGTAATGTTTATCAATTTAACAGGTTTCACTTTTATTAAAGCTGCATCAGAGAATGAGACGTGAAGAAAAAAAACTCTGGTATTTTTAATTTTGTGTTGTTTGATTTGGTTAATCAGGCTTCACATGCATTTGACTTGTTAAACAAATGTTAGCATAATTTATGGCATCCGAATTCAAAGAGAGAAAAGGCATCCTTTTGAAGCTCCAAGAAATTAATGAATTTCAAGCCTAACTAAAAAAAACAAATATTACTTTAGGTATGTAATTCTCTTTTGTCTATGTAGGATTCAGATGATAAAGAAGAGTTGTAAGTTTGTGCATGTATGTAGAGGGGAGTAGTAGTAGTAGATATTATTTATGTTTGGTGGTTGTCTACATGATTGTTTGGGGTCGTTTTTACGTAAACACCAGTTGTGGTAGATAAACATGCATTAGATATGGATTCAATAAAGGTTGGTGATGTAATATAGTGTTTTTGGCATGTGTTTATAGTTGGTAAAATATTTAACAGGACTCCCTCAAAGCTCTTCTGACGTAAAGAATTATGTTTTTTTTTTTTAATTAGGATGGCATTTGCAAAATCACACACATATATATAACTATAAAGAAATATAGTCTTAAGGTGTGCTATATTTATGGAATAAAGTGCTCAATATCAGAGATAGAGCGTGTGTAAATATAAAAGTGAACATAGAAGTCAACACTTAGAGGCGACAGTCTGTTTCATGCTATATATATATATGTATATATATATATATATATAATGCAATATAACTATATGGTAATAGGCTGTAGCAATATAAGTATTTTTTTTCTTACAGTTTTTTTATTTCAAAACTTATCCCCAAAGAAATTATTAGGATACACCAGATTATTAATTTTTACCTTCTTTTTTTACTTTTTTTAGAAAAATTTATTCATATTGTAAGATTAAAAAAATGAAGTCAAAGTATTTATTAAAATTCATTTTTATTTCTTTGATGATATAATCTTCTTGTAATTTGAAACACCTGATTTTAATCATTTCCACCCGTCTGCATTTATTGTGCTCTCTTATTTAGCACTCCAGAGCTCACATCTATAGTTTGGTTTGGATTATGGCATATCAACTTCAATGGGTTATTTAATGCCAACAAGATTTTTATTGCTGGTAATATTTTTTTTCCCCAAAAATGTATTCCTATTAATATTTTTTTTCAAAAATGTATTGCTGGTATTAAAATCTATTTTTATACTTTCATAATGTTTTGACCGCACTTTTTGAGTGTTAACTATTTGCCTATAGCACACCAACATATGCTACCACGCTGGATCAGCGTGGACCTGTGAACACCAGCAATTAAGAGGTGGTTCCATGCTCTTCAAAACATCCTGATCGGAGGCCTTGATGTTGGATGTAGTTTATCATCTTACCCAGGATATGGATGTAGTTTATTGTCATACACAGGATGGACACATCTAAAGGCTACCCATGATACCACTATGTGATGAGATATTGTGGTGTATCAAAAGTGCTTTCTTTTTTTTCAGACTTTTACTTTAAATATTACTTCTTGTATGCATCTAAAGATTATGTTTCATAATCTATATTTACCATTTTATTGTTGAAATTGCTAAGTGTAACCATAAGTTCTTGTCTTGTCACACTTCTCATCTATGAAATTCCCTTCCAGCTACTTGCTTTTATGCCACCTACAATCTACAAAAATTTAAAGACAACGTCTGATAACAAATATGGCACCAGTTTGTTTACATTGCGCAGATCAGTAAAAAAAATTTCAGGGATTGTGCAAGTCAGTGTTGCCAACATTGTGTGAAAATTTTGTGTGAATTGATTGGACGGTTTTTGAAATATTAGAAAAAAGTTATCTCAATAATAATTTGGTACGCAGTGTAAATAAATAGACATGCCATCATTGCTATCATTATACGAGAGATACGCACCTTCATCATTGCTATCATTATACGAGAGATACGCACCTTCATCATTGCTATCATTATACGAGAGATACGCACCTTCATCATTGCTATCATTATATTACCTTCATCATTGCTATCATTATACGAGATACGCACCTTCATCATTGCTATCATTATATGAGAGATACGCACATCATTGCTATCATTATATCATTGCTATCATTATACGAGAGATACGCACCTTCATCATTGCTATCATTATACGAGAGATACGCACCTTCATCATTGCTATCATTATACGAGAGATACGCACCTTCATCATTGCTATCATTATACGAGAGATACGCACCTTCATCATTGCTATCATTATACGAGATAATGCACCTTCATCATTGCTATGCTATCATTATATCATTATACGAGAGATACGCACCTTCATCATTGCTATCATTATACGAGAGATACGCACCTTCATCATTGCTATTATTATATGAGAGATACACTTATCATTACTTTTCTGATATACTTTTAGTTGTCACAATTTTAAATACAAGTATTGCAATTCAGGTCATTTTGAGATGCCATATTAAACTCCTTATCTTATGATAAATTTAGTGGAGCAGATAATAACTGCTCTGGTTATCAAACATTACAATTTGGCATCTTCTTATTTAAAACTTTGTTTATGTGCAATTGGAGGCATTTACAAAGTTTAACCTTCATACCTGTAATAAAATGGCATGTCAAAAGGATGTTTTTTTCCCTTAACATCACTATTTTGTACTACTTTCACTCCTTTGACAATGTTTATTTACAAGATTATGACAACAATGGAAGTGTTAAGTAAATTATGAAATTTTGATGCAGTAATTTTAACATTATTAATTGGGAGTATTATTAATGTTCTTACAAGGAGGTGCTGAAAAGAATGCACTATATTTCAATAGGATACACTAGTGTAGAGACTAATTGAGATGACTAATATGTCTATGCTGGTGTAAGAATAGCACTAAGCATTAGTTAGTTTATAACACAAAAGCTAGGGACTGGTATTTCATAGTGTCTTGAATGTAATGTCAATCGCTATCTACAGTCTTCTTGATTACTCTTTAAATAACTGACCCCTTGTAAAAAGAACAGAGGAAATATTTTTAGCAATGAGCATTCATTAGACCAGGAATGTACAATTAAAAAAAACTGGTTGTATTATATGCTACTATAAGTCTATAACAGTTTAGAAAATAGCACAAAGCACTAGTTATTTTATAAAAACAAGGGGCTGAAATTTCATGGTGTGTTGAAAATGTATACATACATCAAGAGCAGGTAATGTGAGTTTTGTAAAGATGTAAAATACATCCATAGCAATGAAGTGCTAAGTAAATTATAAAAGCCTGATGTAGTAATTTTAACATTATTACTTAGAAGTGTTATTTATGTTCTTACAAATTTCAATAGGATATACTACATCAGAAACTAAGTGGAATGAGTAATATGTCTATGTTAGTGTGGGAGCACTAAGCATTAATTAGTTTATAACAAAAATTCAAGGGAATGACATTTCAGTCTTGAATATATATATATATATATATATATATATATATATATATGAAATGCAACTTCTTAATTTTTGCTTTTTCCCCTATTTTAAATTTAACGTAGGTCATTTTGATTGGTTGATCTGATTAAAGCCCACAAAACTTCTCACCACCACCTCTCTTTTCTTTCTTTTTTTTCTCATAAAAAGGTTGTATTTTGATTTTAAATTTCAATAAATCATTCATTTATCAGTCATTTACAATCGCCTGATGAAATGCTTTGACTTGCATTGAAGCACAACTGCAATTGTGTAGCATATTTGACATGTTTTTCATGTAATATCCTAAAAGAAGGAATATTACTCTACTTTGCATTGAGCCATCATTTAAATTAAATGTTATGAACGATTGAATTGTACTCTATTCATTCTCATCTTATATATATATATATATATATATATATATATATATATATATATATATATATATAGGTATCTACTAGCAGTAGAGCCTGGCGTTGCCTGGAGATGTAACAGTAAGATGTAACAAGTATCGACCATCATAAAGACTGAAAAATAAAATTGACAAAGATTATTGTTTAAGGATGACGGACACGCATGTCTTAATTAGTTTTTTTTTTTTTTTTTTATTACGAATGGGTCAAACCCAAACAAAAACATTGTTTTCAATTGTTATGAGTGTACCGATTGAATAGAATTTTATTATAAACAATTGTCTTGTAAATGGAATTTTTAAAGCATTCTGAATGTAAAAATAAAGAAAGAAGTGTGCAAGACAATAAGAAGCACTACCTGCCAAAAAAAAGTGAAGATTTGTTGAAATCGGTTGAAAAATGTAGGAAATCTGATCGCATATATAAACAAACACACACACACAAACATCCTGGGTTTTATAAGTATAACTCGATATGAGTTGTCCCCCTTTCATTCTCGTGGTGCTTCTTAATCACGTTTTCAAATTGATTTCGTGCAAAAACAATTGTGTTTTCCAATTTGGGGCGCTGTTAGAACCACCGCAAGGTAATTTTACGTAGTCCTGTGAAGTTTTGTTGAAATCGGTTGAAAAATGTAGGAAATCCGATCCAATATATAAACGTACAGACACACACACACAATCTGCGTTTTTTAATAAGTAAGATATATATATATATTATATATATATATAGCTGCATTGTTGTGAGTTTGTTGTCACTCTTCTAGGTACTGACCAGGCTCGATGTTACTTAACTTTGGTGATCATACAAGAACCAGTGCTTCAACACGATATGGCCATAAACAAAATCAAAGAAGGGTGTAATATTAATGTTGGAGTTAGACAGCATGAGTTAATAGATTTTGTAACAGACAGTAAATATTATGGAAATGGTTTTGGCCTCAATACCAGATGGAAGAATAACATCCATAAACACTGGGAAGTCTCAGACAGAATATCATTTTTACTGTTCAAGACAAAATAAGGAATATGATTACTTTTAGACATTCTACGAATGTGAAATTAACGTTTTATTTTATTGGCAGTTTCTTATTTAGAACTTTATAAATGCTTCCAGTTGCATATAAAGATTTTACCAGCGGGGCATTTAATTTAAGAGGAGTTTTGAAAAAAACAAAAACAGGGAATATTGACTTGGGATGTTGATAGTTATGAAACTGATGTATTTACACTATTTAGCTTTTTCAGACTATTATCCTCATCTTTATTGCCATATTCACAATGTTTCAGCATTCTTCAGGTGATATACAGGGGTTGGACAAAATAACTGGAACAGGTGCAAATTGCACTACTATATTTCAAAGACCTATTATATTAAGAACTTTAACTAAAACTTTGTAATTGCAGGTTATATCTATTGTAAATACATTTATTTATCTAATTTACTGTCTTTGTCTTATTTTTTTAGAATTTAGTAAAATTTAAGCTAAATGCATGACCTCTCCGAGTTCAAAAATTTCAAATTGTTGGAGCTCACGTGGCAGGAGCCTCGATCACTAAGGTTGCTGAACTGTTTGGTTTTTCAAGAGCTACCATATCAAGAACTATGATGCAATTTGAGAAATGGGGCAAAACCTATAGCAACCGGAGCAAAAAATCATCAGACTACTGCAGCCAAAGTGACTGTTGAGTTGAATAATCATCTGAATAGTCCAGTTTCTACTAAAACTGTTGTGAGCTCCATAAGGCTGGATGTCATGGAAGAGCCACCGTAAGGAAACCTCTTCTCTCCACTCACAACATTCAGAAGAGGTTGAAGTGGTGCAGAGATCACAATGCCTGGTCTGCAGACCAATGGAAGCAGGTCATATTCTCAGACAACTCCAGTTTTTCTTTTTTTCCAACTTCAGGACGAGTTTATGTGTGGAGGCAGCCCAAAGAAGCTTACAACCCTGACTGCCTTCTTCCAACAGTGAAGCATGGAGGTGGATCAGTGATAATTTGGGCCGCCATATCATGGAAATATCTCGGTCCAATAGTTGCCCTGCATGGTAGAATCAACAGCAAAGATTACCTGAACATTTTGAGAGATCATGTTCATCCAATGGCCCAGACTTTATTTGCTGATGGTGACTGCATCTTCCAAGATGATAATGCTCTAATACATACTGCTCGAGTGTTTAAGAATTGGTATGAAGAGCATGAAAGTGACCTAGAACACACAGAGTGGCCTCCCCAATCTCCAGATATCAATATTATTGAACATTTGTGGTGCATTTTGGAGTGACAAGTTAGGAGCCGCTATCCTCCACCTTTGTGTCTTAAAGAGCTGGAGCAGTTGTTAATGAAAGAATGGCCTAAAATTCCTCTGGATGAAGTCAGGAAGCTGTATGATTCCATTCCTAGATGTATTAAAGCTGTATGTGAGGCTAAAGGATGAATAACTCCATATTAAATAAATTTTCTTTGAATTTAACAAGTGTTTCAGTTATTTTGTTCAACTGCTGTATGTTGAAATTTCAAACCAAACTCTTTATTTCGTCCACCAGGGTAGATTGTTCTAGTTCCACGTGCCATGACATTTCTGGATATCTCAGTTATCTCCCATTGGTAACTCAACTGTTTGGGTTTTCGTTCACTTCTGCCATGGCCAGGTATTGAACTCACAACTCTGTGTCAAGTCACTGGATTACTTTAGCTAATGCTTTTATCCACTGGGCCATGTGTCCTTGGCATGTGGAACTAGACCAATCTACCCAGGTGGATGAAATAAAGGGTTCAGTTTGAAATTCCAACGTATATCACCTGAAGAAACCCAGAGCTTAAAATGGCTGAAACATCATGAATATGAAAATAAAGATGAGGACAATAGCCTGAACAATGTAAATAGTAACAATACCTCATCTCAAAAAATCCTGAAGAAGGCCGGAGTGTACAACGGCCAAATGCCATGAATATGACAATAAAGATGAAGGCAACAGTCCGAACAATGTAAATAGTGTAAATAGTTAAAATATGTCATCTCAGAAATATAGACAGGTAACACTGAGGTTGACCCCAAGAAACCCAAATCAAAGAAAGACTTGATATTAATATCTTTGTTAGATAGCACAAGTTAAAAGCTTTGGAAAAAGTAAATATTATGGAAGTGGTTTTGTCATCAATACCAAATGAAAGAATAATATCCATATAGACACTGGAAAGTCTCAGATTAATTTAGGCAATGCTTTTATCCACTGGGCCATGTGTTCTTGGCATGTGGAACTAGACCAATCTACCCTGGTGGACAAAAAGGGTTCACTTCGAAATTCCAAAGTATATCACCTGAAGAAAGCTGGAGCGTACAATGGCTGAAACATCGTGAATAGGACAATAAAGATGAGGACAATAACCCAAATGATGTAAATAGTTAAAATACCTCATCTTAGAAATATAGACAGGTAACACTGAGGTTGATCCCAAGAAACCAAAATCAAAGAAAGACTTGATATTAATATCTGTGT